ACCCTGTATGCCACAGTCCCCAGTTTCATGTGGCCCCATATGCATCCCCACAGCTGAGGAGGGAGGGAGGGAAAAGTCCATATACATAGCCCTCCTCCACACAAGACATCTTATTTATATCGCCAGTTTAATAAGCCCCTCCCACTGCTGTGCAAACACTCTCCACATATGGCAACTGAGGACGTTAACATATGAAACCAGATCTTTGTGCTTGCCAGTGCTTTCAAAATGGTGCATATGTAAATATTTACTTGATATTTAAATAGAAATGGAATTTTGCCACTTTTAATTTTTGCTTCATTAGGATAAAAAGCATGAGACACGAAACATTATTTAGGTCTTGACTGAAGGTCTCTTTATTTAGACCTTGCCTAGTACTGTCCGTACAGACCCAAATGACCTTGAACTCACGGTGATCCTCCTGCCTCTGCACCCCAAATTCTAGTATTACAAGAGAAACTCCGTTTTCATTTATTTTATCCCGAATATACTCTACAGGGTTTCAATTCCCTGGACCAAGTTCTGGAATTTTTCACCATGGGGCTAAGTCCTCACGTAACTGAAAGCCATGAGGGAAAGAATGACTTTCAGAGCAGAGACGAAAACAGCAGGGTGGGTCTGGTTCAGGAGTAGATGGGTTTTGCGCCCATCACAACCGAAGGATCCGGTGATGCATCAGACCAGAGTCAACCTGGGAAGAGAGCAGTGACAAACCTTGAGAGCAAACAGGAGACCACTCCTGCTTCCCCCACAGGCCAGTGCCTTTGGACAAGGGTCACCTCGGTCATCGTCCATGTCATCACTTGGAGAAGTGACGCTCCCACCTTGCAGAGTTCTGGTGACAGACCCAGGCTCAGGTCATCACCCAGATACATGGAAGACAGGGTATCATCTTCCCAGATCTTTGTTGGCCATGTCCTTCCTGAGATAGAGACAGTGGCAATGGCAAGACTTGGGAGTCTCTACAGTAACTGACCTGAGCAGGGCAAATGCATCCATTCCTTCTCAATAGCCAAGGGTTATTTTCCCAGGGATTTGGTGTGCTTGGAAGGTATGGAAAACTGGTTTTGAATCTATATGTAATGTGGAGCTAGAGTCAAGAGTCAAGAGATAATCATTTATTTTCCACCAGTGTGGCAATCTGGCATAACAGGTGGTGTGTAGGAAAGTCCTTTGCCAAAATAGATTGTCAGGTTATAGTGTGTCTCATGTTTCTGGCTACTGTCCAGTTAAAGCCACCCCCTACACACACACACACACACACACACACACACACACACACACACACACACACACACCCTTGAATCTTGGCTCCTATACCTGTACTCTCTCGTCTCTCATACACAATGCTCTTTGTGGTCCACTTTGTCCTTGGGTTTACCCCACCCAGCAGCAAATGAGGAAGTGGGTTTTGTTGCAGTTATTTAGGCAAGGGAGTAAGGCAAGTACACTGCACGGGAGCAGATGAGGAACTTTCAGGAGCTCGTCTCAGCTGATAAAAAAACAACAACAAAAACAAAAACAAACAAAATCTTCCCTAGAACTATGGGAACATGAACAGAACCTCTGATGGGATAAATGACGTTACTGAAAGACCTCAGAAAGAGGTACTTTCGTAGAAGGAGACCCGCACCCAGGAATCAGCGAAACCACGAACTTGGATGCAAAAAGCAAGAGGCTTTATTAGTGGCGCGGGTACCCGGGGACTTAGCTTCTCTTAGGCCAAGCCCCGAGCCCAGGAAGAAGAGGTCCTTATATAGGAGAAAAAGCACAGTACAGAAGCGAAAAGCATAGTTACAGGGATTCTGTTGGACAATTTAATGAGTTGCAAAGTTATTTTAAATCAGCACTTTCTCAAGGTCTAGTAGTCAGGCGAAACGGCCTTAGCTTTACTTATCTTCTTCCGCGTCCAGATGGCTGACCTTGGGTCGGAGCGTTCCCCATTAGGCAGGGGCTTCCGCGGCCCCCGTGTCCTTGGCCTTGGAGGCGGCTCCCCGCTCGCAGCTCCTGGACAAGCAGCACCGCTGCTCTGCCTCTCCCAGCTCAAGTTCCCCTTCCAGGCGCCGCCCGCGCTGCACTCTCCAGCCCCTGGCCGCACCCTGGCCCTGCAGTGCTCAGTCCCCGCCGCGCTGCCCTCGGTCAACTGCTCCGGACTCCTACCCTACCCTGGGCGGCCCTTCTGGCTCAGCAGCCGCTGCACACAGGGACGATCGGCCGGGTTACTTCGCCCCAGAAGCCGGGGGGCCCGGGAGGCCCAGGGCGCGAGCCCGGGTGATGTCCCCTGCCCAGCATGCGCGCAGCGCCCCGTTTCCTCCTCGGCCAACTCTCCTCCCGCCCCCATCCTTCCCAGCCCATCCCGCCTGCTCTAGAGAGAACACCCAGCACCGACACAGGCGGGGAAGACAGAGAGGCAGCGGGCAGGGGGCATGCAGAAGCATTCCGAGCGGGTATTTCATTACAATGACTCCATAAGAACATGAGACAGCAGAGAAACCACACGCACTGGGGTGAGGGGAAACAAGGACATGACAAATCCGTTTGCAGCTCCTCCCAAGAACCTCCCATTATGGACCCATGGTGTTCATGGGGAAGTGGTGTGGTGATATATTTTTATGATTTATTAAAGCTTGTCTTAGGATTCAGAAAGCAAAGTCAGCGTCAAGCTATAGAGATCAGGCAGTGGTGGTACACACCTTTAATTCTAGGACTCAGGATTCAGAGGCAGATGGGTCTTTGTGAGTCCAAGGCCGCCCAGATCTACACAAGATTGATGCAGTCCTAAAAATTTACAGCTCACACAAACATGATCTCAGCACCTGGGATCACACACCTTTAATCCCAGCACTAGAGGGGTATAAAAGATGGGAGCAGGGTCTTCAGTAGTCAATATCAGGCAGTCATTCTTCAGCCACATTGAGGATAGGAAGACATTGAAGTCTCAGGATTCTCCAGCCACGATGAGGAGAGGTTACAGTCTGATGTTTGGTGGAGCTAGTATTGAATTTCAGTTTGAGGTAAAGTAAGAGCTAGTGGCTGGCTGCTTTGCTTTTCTGATCTTCAACTTGGAGCTTGGACCCCAGTATCTGCCTCTGGGTCTTTCTTTTTTCTTTTTTCTTTTTTCTTTTTTTTTTGTGCAACAAAGTGGGCTTCACCTTTGAGATGTAGAAAATGTAACTAAATGTTTACTGCCCTCTAGCTTCCTTCCTCAACTTATTTACAGTTATTTTACCTGTTATGTTTTGCATTAAATATTGCCTTGTCACAGATGGGGAGTGAATATTCAAGTCTAAATTGCAGGATGTGTGATTATCTGAGGGAACTAAGTATTACTAGTTTGTAGCACCTTGACACAGTTACATAGTAGATGTCTGTTATCTCTGAGTGAATTTACTCATACCTTCACTTGTATATCATACTAATGTTTAGAAGCCTATAACCTCCTATGTGATCATCATGTTCTCCTGCCACCATTGTCCGTCATGGAACATGAAGTGTGGATGTCCTACACAGAGTAGAAATGAAATTAGATGGGATTTTCCTCACGCGCGCTCTTAGTGTAACTGGAAGGATTTTGGTTGTTACCTGGCCATGGTTATCCCCACTAATAGACTGCTTTGTGGCTTAAAATTGGATGAGAAATACCATAACAGAGGGAGCCATTATAGGTCCGAGGAGAGATCTGGCTCTAGGGAGATTTCCGGAGACCTACAAGGATGACACGAACTGACAATCCAGGCAATGGTGGAGAGGATAACCTAAACGACCTTCCCCTATAATGAGACTGATGAATACTTTTTAATGCCATCCTAGAGCCCTCATCCAGTGGCTGATGGAAGCAGAGGCAGACACCACAGATATACACTGAACTGAACCCTGGAACCTAGTTGCAGAGAGGGAGGAATGAAGATCAAAGGGGTCAGTACTAGGCTGGTGAATCCCACAGAAACAGCTGGCCTGAACAAGGGGGAGCTCATTGACCCCAGACTGCTGTCTGGGAGGTCAGCACAGGACTGATGCAGACCCCTGAACATGGATGTCAGTGAGGAGGCCTCCACACTCTAGGGGGCCCCTGGTAGTGGATTAGTATTTTTCCCTGGTGTAAGAAGGGACTTTGAGAGCCCATCCTACGTGAAGGGATGCACTCTCGACCTGGACACATGGGAGAGGGCTAGGCCCAGCCAAGGATGATGTTGTAGATTTTGGGGAGCCCCCTGGAAAGCCCTACCCTCCATGGGGAACAGAGGGGGGAGGAACTGGGGAGCCAGTGGGGGGTTGGGGGTAGGGGAGGGAGAGGGAGAAGGGATTGACATGTGAAGCAAGCTTGTTCCTAATTTAAACTAATAAAAAAAATTTACGTTTCCTATTCCTGTCCCAGATGTTTTCTGTCCGTCGAAATCTTTGTCAGAAGGAGGGAGAAAGAAGAGAAGGGGATAGCAGAAGAGACAAGAGTTGTAATAGATTCTCTCCCAACGTTCATACTGACCTAGGTCCTCAGAACCCCACAGCAGGGCATTAAGCATTCCAGCGTCTGGGGGAGACATGACTCTTACAGGAAATTACACTATTTAAGGTCCACACACTTCAGGGCAGGTGTGACAACCACACATTGTTCAGAGTGGGAGGCTCTGCCACCATGGAGACATTTGCTCATGGTTCTAGGAGGACAGTGATGTCCAGGTGTGAGGTTGTTGTCATAAAGGCTGCTTTCCTGGGTTACAGCCACCCCACCCTCTGGACTGCTCTCTGTGGTCCCTCCCTCTGTGGTTTGTCTCAGATTCTTGGCCATTATAAACATTGGCAATGCTGGCACGTAATGTTTTGCAAAAGAAATTTCTTTTTAATGGCAGTGTAGCAAAGAAATCATTAAATTTGCTAAACTGAAGATAGTTGGATTAGCAGGTAAGGTTACGTTAAAAAGAAAGTCTTCCTTGAAGGCCAGCTGTGGTCACTGCCTGATGCCATGATCTGTTACCTAGGAAAGAAAGCAGTTGTCTCTGATGATGGAGACGAAGAACACTGTGAAGGCCCTGACCAGTGACTTCGAAATCAATAAGCAGGAGACTAAAATGCACCTAGAGGAGACGTAAGGGCGTCGTGAATGGGCAAGCAGGGTCTGGTGTAGAGGACAGTGGTGAATGTAGACTTGGGATTTAGAAATGACCTAGGCGGGGGCTGGTGAGATGGCAGTGTCTGCCTTTGAAGCCTGGTGACTTGAGTTTGTTCCCCAGAACCTACCTGGTGGAAGGAGGGAGCGACTGCAGAGTTCTGTGTGACCTCCAGATGCATACAAGGCACACATGCACTATTCCTCTCTCTCTCGTCCTCTCTGTCCCCCTCTTCCTCCCCACTCTCTCCCTCTCTCCCCTCCCTCCTTCCCTCCCTTCCTCTCTCTCCTCCCCTCTCTCCTCTACCCTACCTCCAATGAGTAAAATAAAAACAATTTAGGAAGTCATTAGAACTAGAAATTGTATGAGTTTCCTAAAGACAGTGGACATTCACAGGGTTAGCTATCCTGTTCTCTAAGTCCCTGGCCCCTGAGCAGTATAAAATCTCCAGGACAGAACACTGCCATAAAATCCTGGGTGGGATTTCACAGCTCCCATTGAATTGGCCAAGGCCATGGGCTTAAAAGCTTGACTAGATCAGGTGTGGAGGTTTGGTGTGTTCCCAGCACACTGGAGGCTAAGGAAGGAAGCCTGGGCTACATTGTGAGATTCTCAAAACACAAAAACTGTAGCACAGCCACCACCAACAAATGTGTGTGATGAACATTAAAACACTACTAGAATTCAGTCTTGGAAATGTTTGTGGGGACAGCATATAAATTTTCACAGCTCTGCCACAGCTGAAAAGCTTTTCCTCAGCTGAAGCACTGGCATTGGTTTCCTTTCGGCTCTCGAGGGTGCATGACTAGAAGCCGTTTGCTACTTTGGACTTAGATGTCCTGTGCTCACTGTTGAGCGTCAGTCTGTTGTTCAATGTTTTAGAGGTGAGAAGCGATACATCAGCGTCTCCAAAACCACCTCTTCCCGTCACCCCAAGTGCTGGCCAATCGAGCTTTTGCTATCACTCCTTCTTTAGTGTCTGTTAGTTACAGAGAGAGAAACAGAGAAGGGGCTGGGGAGATGCCAAGACTCGAGGCAGTGCAAAGACTCCCATCTTCCATAAGAGTCCATAGATGGCGAGGGTAGGGCACACATGACCCCTGCATCACAAGAGTCAGGTCCTGGAGTCTTCGGTCTCTTCCCAAGGTGTGTGTAGCCATCAGGCATTTAAAGACTTGCTGCGTCCCTGAGCCAAGTTTCTCTGTTCCAGCTACGAAAGGGCTTATTGGGAATCCTTACACTGGAATTAAATGTGTTTAGAAAGGATGCTGTTTTACTGAGGAGAAAGTTTGGGAAGCTTATGAAATGAGTGAGCTTACTCTAGACAGCAGCGGCAGATGGCCCCCGTGTGATCCTGTCTCTGGCTGCATGGAGATGACGGATGTAGACAATCTGCCCCTGCCATACTCCAGAGAGTCCTCAGAGCAGAGCGTGGGGCTCCTCAGACAAGCATGAGTGCTTGGCACATCTTAGACTCTCAGTTTGTCAACCTTACTGAGCGAGCACTGGGCAAGTAAAAGCAGATCTGAGAGCCAATACCATTCCTCCACATTTTAAAACTTTGCTGTACTTTCTGAGAGGCACATTTAGTAACATCCAGTGTTGACAACAGAGTTCTCCAGATAAAAGGGTTCCAGGGAAGGAATCTGCAGAGTGAAGAATCAGAAACATGACAACTAGTACTGAGGATATGGTGAAGATGGTAGGAGAGGAAGTCCCAGGCCCTGATCTCCATAGAAACCACAATGAGGGTCTGGAGAGTTGGCTCGGAGGTTAAGAGCACTGGCTGCTCTCCCAGAGGTCGAGAGCTCAATTCCCAGCACCCACATGGTGGCTCACAACCATCTGTAGTGAGATCTGGTGCTTTTTTCTAGCATGCAGGCAGACATGCTGGCCAAACACTGTCTACGTAGTAAGTAAATAAATCTTTAAAAAGAAAAGGACACCACGTGGAATAAACCCAACCAGACATTGTCTTTAACCACCTTATAAGCTATGCCACTGGGACAGATATGGCAGGGACATCCCACAGGTAGAAAGCTCCGGCGGTGTCAACCATGGCCAGCTGCATTACATTTAGGCCTTGGGGAGGAGGAAACAGCATGAAGGAGGGGTGTGGCTGAGGAAATTGGAAGCAGAGATGGGAGAAGGTCAGAGCAGGGTGGCCCCACCACCCACTTCCCACCTTGTGAATCCATCAGCGGATGACCCCATTCATTGGCATCTCTGGAAACTCATGGACACATGCAGACAATATCATTTAGCTCATGGAGAAAGTATGCTGTAGTTTGGGGGCTTTGTTCAAATGATTGTGCGAGGCTTAATGAATACTTTTCTGTGAAAACCAAAAAGGAGACCCGCGTTCCCAGAAGAAGTCAGTCACTCATCACAGTGGGACTTGAAAATCATCATCCTTCCCTAATTTCTGCTTTCCATGAGAGACGGGGTGGGAGATTATTGCCCACATAATTTTGTCAATATTGGAAAGTTAGTTTAGCAGCTGCAGGAATTCAAGGAAGTGGCCATATCAGTGAATAGGCGTTAAGGTCTTTTGTAGAAAGACAAATACTCCTGAAAGAAATGTATTAAAAAGCTAAGAAGGAAACCTTAGAGTCCCCGACTGCAGGCATTATACTGATTATTATAACTTTTAACTTTGAAAACCATCAGCAAGAGAACCTGTTGATCTTTAATGTAAAACGAAATATGCAGCGAGACAAGGCTAATAATGTTCCTTTACCTAGTTAGCACCAGCATTTGGTGCTGGTACATGTCTGTTAGTTAGCAAGCAGAATTCTGAGTACCATCTCGAGCTTCCTGTGCTCGGGCATTTTAATTTTCTTACTTTGGTCATTATTGTCTTGTATACAGAAGAGAAGAGAAACTTGGAAATCTGACTCCAGCCAAACAGCCGTCTTCAGTGCACTTCTTCCCAGAGATAATAGATTTGGAGGCCACGCCGATGCAATTGTCAACATCCACTTCTCAGAACATACCGTTCAACTTGCCCCAGGTCACCAATGCTCAGAACAGCGGTCTAACCTTGTCATCGGCAGGACCGCTGACCTCCAAATCTACCCTCCTGAGCATCCCCCGGGGAGATGCCAGCCTGTCAAAGCAGAGTAGGTACCGAGCACCCCAGACCGTCCCCACAGCAGGTTCTGATTGCCTGGCTCTTTGTTTGCCTCCCAGCCTGAGGGATGTGCTGTCATTTGTTCCCTGTGATGTCTGTTTCTCCGTGTCAGTGTCATGCATGGAGTAGGCTGGCTGAGTCCAGAACCTTTAAAAGTACATGTCCATGCGGTGCCCAAATACAATGTCCCCATAAGGAAGGCACCTGCAGCTGCTGTGGTGGCTTGTGGGTTGAGACCACAGTTGCCTTGATGGCTTGTGCGTCTACTGTTAGCATGGTCTAGACTTGTTAGGGAACTGCCACTTGCCACGTAGATTCCTAAGGACCTCTTCCTGGATGCTGCTAGAAAGATGAAGATGCCTAGAGCTACCGTGACGGTCTGTGACTCGGTTGTTAGCATGTCCTAGGATTGACTGAGAACTCAGCTTCCCAATGTACCACTCCAAGGGTCCTTCCGATGAGCACTGCCTTAAGGGCTAGGCCATGTATTGCCCGCACCTGGGATCAAGATGCCTGAGCTAGAGAGACGGCTGCAGTTAAAATGCCCAGTGTATAGCAGGAAGGGCCGTTTGCCAGAACACTGACAGAAAGGATAAACAGTATCTTCTTTTGCACCTTTAGCAGACTCAGGGCTCATGTATATACAGAACAGACATCAAAAGTGGGGTGGCACCGGAGATGAAGTGACAGAGAGAAGTGGGGCGCAGGGGGAGGCATAAAGAGAACACGAAGGAGCAGAAACTGTGTGGCCCGCTGTGAGGTGCCAGCAGGGTCCCGAGCCAGGCTTGCGGTGCGGTTAGCTGCACCTCGTGGTTCGGTGACGCCATCCTGGCAAAGGCAAAACCAGCTCTTTCCTGCCCTCCTCAGAGTGAGGAGGGAAGATATTTCACAGCCTTGACTCTGATGCTCCACACCCTCAGAGAAGAGCTCAAAACACCAGCTTCGCAGTTCTGCTAAGCTTAGGACATGTGTAGGATCTCAGCACACAGCCAACATGTGCAACCCTTAGCCTACCTGCAAGCTCCTTCTAGAATAATCTGCATTTGACTTCTGGGCCCACGACTCCTGAATGCTTCACGCCCTCTACTCTGTGGACATTTATAGTCTGGCTAGGTCTCACCTGCATTATTTCTGTTGGTTTCCGGTATTTCCCTAGGCTTCAACATGATGTTACACACAGTTGTGTATGGCTCTCATGATGATCACAGTGTCGTTCGTCATTGTTTTTGTGACTAAGGTGGATCATCCAAAGACACTTGCTAAATTCTTGCTGACCCTAACCCTTGACCACTATGCAGGGTGTTAGATATGCAGATACAAGCTTCAGATCTAAAAAGGAGAGCTGCAGATCTGGTGCTATGGAGGTCATTGTGTTTGCTCTGTGTTTGGGGCTAAACTGTAAAAATGCTGACAATGGGAACAAAGCATAGTGGCTTCAGTTTGCAGGGCAAGAGGTAGGTAGGGACGCAGTCTTCTCCTTGAGCTCAGAATCCTCTTCTTCAGAGTTAATCCTATATACAGTGGGGCATGTCCTACCAGCTCAGTGCCATCTGTGGTTCTCAAGGAACTAAAGCAAGAGCTTGGTTAATGTCTCCTTTCCTTTCAGAACACAGATATTCATTCCTCAGGGGGGAGATGCTGAGGAGAGAGATGCTGTGGAGAGAGAAATGCTGTGGAGAGAGAGATGCGGTGGAGAGAGAGATGCTGTGGAGAGAGAAATGCTGTGGAGAGAGAGATGCGGTGGAGAGAGAGATGCTGTGGAGAGAGATGCTGTGGAGAGAGATGCTGTGTGGAGAGAGATGCTGTGGAGAGAGATGCTGTGGAGAGAGATGCTGTGGAGAGAGATGCTGTGGAGAGAGAGATGCTGAGGAGAGAGATGCTGTGGAGAGAGAAATGCTGTGGAGAGAGAGATGGGGCGGAGGGGGAGTGGCTGGGGGGGGTTGTGTTGAGGGTGAAGGGGG